ATTTCAGGATAAACAAACAGAAAGTGATTGAAAATTTCCGAATAAATGCTATGTGAGAATGAATGCAGATAATGCCATAGATGAGCAGAATTCGGAGAAAAGGCTGCGTTATTGAACAACAGCCCATTTTGAGCAACAAGTTTCTGATGACGTTACAGCATTTTGAAAGGATTCTGAATTAACGAACCTTGGACTAAATGCGAATAATCATATAAATCCTCCAAGAGTTTTGGCTCGGCGAGCGACGAAGTAAAGCAACAGTGAGGTACGAACTTTAGGTAATGAGCATTTATTCTCTCGACTGGGCTTGAAACCGGGTTAAAATTATTGATTTTGATGGAATATTCATTTAAGGACAACGTTCCCCCTTCTCACAATCCTTTTTTACATTCATGAAACTTTAGGCCCTATACTATTGCTACCATACACTTGGGTACTAATTATTGGAGAGGTTTCCTTTATTATTTCGCAATTAGCGGTTACCAGGATTGGCGTTCAGCTACGGCCCATAAACCACCAATGCCTGAAAAATATTGGACTCTGCTTATATAACAAATCGAGATGTCAGTAAATATACCTGGCATGTATATATCTTAGGATAAAGCGTAAACTAATTAACTGTTGAACTGAAGCTCTGAAAAGCAAATATAAGCTGAACCGCACACTATGAGCTCTATATCGGCTATGAGCAGAATACTTGCTTACTGTAAACACGTATGCTACCGTAGAAAGTTGGAAGTGCTTGAAATTCATCGATTCTGGTAAAATGACAAATATACTTCTATCTTTAAAGCGAATTAGGGTCTGCTTAGAATATGCCCTAGACAAAGTTTAGCAAATAGTCTGAATTTGTTTAGTTCATGTTTAAAGAACTTCTATAAAACTCGACTATTTTTTCAATAGGTACCGCAAACTGATCTCCAGTGCTCCTTAGAAAGGTTTGCAGCCGAGCGTGACATGACCGGCATGCGTGTGAACGCATCTAGAAGGAAAAGCCTGGTGCTTTCTCGTTCTCCTGCCCGTTGCTCTCTTCAGATTAACGGAGAGGCAGTGGAGCAG